ATACCTATCAGGACAGCAGAACATAGACATAACTTCTAAGTAAATATGCATATAATGATGGTACATCCTTAGTTTTTTCACAGTAGGCGTGTACAATTCACAGCGTTAGGAGATCAAATCACTGCTGTAGCATGTGGGTTGAGTAGGTCTGCTGCACACGTTACTGTCCTAACTCCAAGAATTAGGTCTTAAGCACTTCTCTTTGGCATTTAAACCACTTTTAAACTCTGGAACTGTGCTTTACATTATATGCTAGACATGAGGTGCATATCTAACGTTAATTTTTGTTTCATTTTGATAAATTAAAGTAAATTTTCTTTTTTTGCGGAACCGAAGATTGAACTCAGGCCCTCGCACTTGCCAGGGAGGCGCTTATTCCACTGAGCCATCTCCCTGGCCCCTAAAATTCAGTTTCTTAATGACACTGATTATACAGTAGTACCCTTTTTCCTGTGGTTTTATTTTCCATAGTTTTACTCATGGTCAACTATGGTCTGAAAATTCCAGAAGTAAATAATTCATAAATTTTATTTTTTAATAATTCATGAATTCTAAATTTTTTATTATTAGGGGTTGTAGCTGGGTGATGGAGCACATGCCCGGATGCTCAAGGCACAGCGCTTACGCCCCAGCACCACCCCAAAAATTTACTGTTAGTTATTATCTCTTACTGCCTAACTTATAAACTTGTATGTACCTGTAAGAAAAAACATTCTATGGTATCTTTGGTTTCAGGTATCCATTACAGATCTTGGAACATATGGCCTGCAGATAAGGCTTTTTTAGGCACTCAATCACATGACTGATTGCTACTGTACTATAGTGCAGCTATAACATTTTTATAGTCTGACTTTAAAAAAAAGTCTGGTTAGACAGAGGGAACACTTGGCTCCATATTCCTTGCTTTAACTTATGTTCTGAATACCAGGCCCTACTTGGGGTTTTATGAAGCCTAATTTTATCTTTCTGAGAAAAACTAAGACACATACTACTCATTCTCTCTTCTAATGCCAAAGATCCTTCTCAAAGGTACATTATAGGTATGGTAAGATAGGCTTATTCCTCATATGTTATGGAATTATTCCTTGGCATCCACAGACTAACCTCCTGAAATAGACTACACATACTTAGTAGCAGGAAGTCACTAGTGGAATCAGAATGGCTCTCCTAACCTTTTTTCTTCTAGCAGTCCACAGAGTACACATACTCTATTACTTGTTTCTGTGTACAGTTTTGCTCTTAGTCACCTGACTCTCCACGAATGACAGTGATGCGAGAAAACACAGTGTAGAAAACAGTTAAAAACAGGGTTTTGGCTCCATCCTACCCAAGTCTGCAGATAGGAGACTGGAACCCCTAGACAATGACTAGAAAAAGAAGAAGTTCTGTTGCACCACATGTTTTTCCTAGTTTAACCTATCTAAACCAGAAATCTTGAGCCAGATGGCAACTTCCACTTTCCTAGGAAAATACCTGGTCACTTTCCAGCATTCCCAAGAAATCTACCACAAATACATAGAACAGACTGAAAAACAACTATTTCCTGCTTATGACTGTGTGTAGATTTACCTACCTTTAGTAGGGACCTCCTCTTTCCTTGCTTTCCCCACTCCATTTCAAAATCTTCAAAGGCAGCACACTGAGCATAGCTTTTCAAGATCTCGCTTACCAGAGACCTTGACTTAGTCGTATTGATCTGCTCTGTCCCTGAAGCAGATCATGTGCCTTTGCGCATAACCCTTTGCTCGTATACAGAGAACATCTGTTGTTCTCGAACTCCATCGCTGTCCAGATAATCACATACTTCAAGCAACAGCTTAAACTCCACATTTCCAAATAAACTTATGTTTATTACCTTGCAAATGGTAAACAAGTGCTCTAATCACTACGCTACATCTCAGCCCCAATCTTACTTCTTTAGCTAGACTGTACAGAACCTAAGGCTTAGTCCTTTTTTTTTCTGTAGAGTCCTCAACACTGGTTGAAACCCCAAAGCAGCTAGTTCACTTAAACATCTTGTAAGTAGTACCTGCTGTGCATCAGGTGCTGGGAACATAAGAGTGACTTCAGGTGTCAGGGAGCTGAGTAATCGCCTCCACTTGGAGAGCACTGGGCCTGCTAGGCAAAGGCCTAAGTCACCAATCTCATCCCAAGTTTTCATGTGTGGAGGAAATAACTCCTCCCACAGCACCCCCTTCCCTAACTCCTACAGCTGAGCAGAGCGTGATTCCACTGCGGTACCTGTGCTAAGATCCTGTTCTCCATATCTCACCTGCTTGTCTTACTCACCTGCAGCCTTGTCCAGGACACAGTAGTCTGGGGAGTTATCAAAGTAGACAAGATCAGTACGGGTGGCACGACGATAGCCTTGGCGGGCTGCTGTGAAGTTGGCACCATCTTGGGTGGCTGTTACCTGCACAGCCCCATCATAGCGCCGCCGCAGGTAATCTCCTGTGCGGCGGAAGTCTGAAAGTGCACGCCAGCAGGTACGTAGAGTACAGGAGCCACTCACGCCGTGACACTTACACTCCAGCTTCAGAAATCGCCGTACAGCCTGAGGGAAGGAAGCGGCAGGTAAGGAACAGGCACTAGTCAGGGGACTTTCTAGTCATCCCAGGGGCTAAAAGCATAAGTGCTCTGAGATCTGCTGGCCATGGCCAGCTGGTTGAGCCCTTTGTGGGTCTGCCAGATCACACCTATTCTTCTTCATCAAGTAGAATTTGTCTTAGCCAGGTATGGTACCATATGCTTGCATTGCAGCACTCAGGAGACTGAGGCAGGAGCTATACAACAAAACCCTATCTCAGAAAACAACAGGGGCCGGGGAGATGGCTCAGTGGAATAAGCGCTTCCCTGGCAAGCTCAAGGGCCTGAGTTCAATCCCCGGTTCCACAAAAAAAAAAAAAAAAAAAAAAGGAATCTTGTTTTCTTTTTTTTTGGTGGAAGCCAGGAGTGAACTCAGGCCCTTGCACTTGCCAGGGAAGCGCTGATTCTACTGAGCTATCTCCCCGGCCTTCGAATCTTGTTTTCTAAGCTTGGCACATGCCTATAAATCTCAGCAGTTCTGGAGGTTGAGGCAGAATGATCACAAGTTCAAAGCCAGCCTGGTAAGTCAGTGAGACACAGTCTCAGAAGTGAGGGAGGGTTGGGTATACCTCACTGGTATAGCACTTGGCTACTATTGGTGAGGACCTGGGTTTAATCCTTGATATAGTGGGGGGGAGGGAGGGAGGGAGGGAGGGACAGACAGAGAGAGACAGAGACAGAGACAGAGACATGGGGAGGTGGAGTGAGTCCTGCTCTAAGAAATCCTGGGCCAACTAAGCTTTCCTTGTCATAACAGCCTGTTGGGATTGTAGACTCACAGAATTCTGCTTATGATTACAGTGTGCCTGACTCTTTTAGTTCTGTTTATGATTGCAATGTACTTGCATAGCCTTTAGAGTACAAAGTACCATGCATTTGGCTTTTGTAGTGTCATTTTCTAGCACAGTATATGGGAATATTCAAATACTAGGGTATAGATAGCTCTTCATCTTTAAAAAGTCACTTCTGCTTGGAGATATGTTCAGTAGATGAGCACTTGTCTAGTATGCATGAAGCCCTGTGTTTGAGCCTCAGAACCACAAGAAAGTTACTAGCTTTCTTTTTCTACTTCTTAGTACTCATGTCCCAGAAATGTTGGGCTTTTGTCCTTTTTATTTTATTTTTTTGCGGAACCGGGGATTGAACCCAGACCCTTGCGCTTGCCAGGGAAGCGCTTATTCCACTGAGCCATCTCCCTGGCCCGAATGTTGGGCTTTTGGAAGTGATCCAGAAGTCTTCAGTTCTTCTATCTTCACATTTAGTCTTTACTCACACAAGCTGTCACCCCCAGCACATATGAATATACTTACACAGACATGAGTACTGACCGTACGGCCACAGCGGTTGTTATGTAAGTTCATGAGGGCCCGGGCATCCTTAAGCCTCTTCTCCTTGGCATCCACAAAAGCCTTGGCAAAGCGGATACCATAGTGGATGTTGTCACTGCATCCACCCCAGTCAAAGTCCCCACGTTGGTCATGGTGTCGCCCACGAGTGTAGGGGTCACAGCTGCATACACTCAGTTCACCCTGACTGCAGGCACGAGTGATAGCGTGGACCACCCCTGCTGATGAAATGGCATATACAAATGCTGCCTCCCGGCTACCTAGAATGAGAAAGGTAGAGGGAAGATTCAGGAAAAAGCCCATATCTGTCTTCAACCCACTCAGCCTCAGAAACTTCACCATTCCCAGAGTCACCCCCTCCTACTCACCCTTCATCCAAAGGGCCCTTCCCTTCCAAGCATACACCCTAATGCAGTAGTGGTGAGCCAATGGCATGCCTGCCATAGCAGGCTGTCTGTATCACTTTGTCATCACTGCCCGGGAGCATGGGGCCCCTTCTGTCAGCCCTTAACTATTCTCGTCCACTTTTTTGCACATCTGACCTCTTGTGCGCTTCCAGTTTCCTTGGGTCATTCCATGGGAAAGGCTCAGGCTGAATCATCCTGTCCTACTCCATGCCCGCACTGGAGCAGCTAAGCCTGCATTTGTCCACACTCCAGACTTCTGAGGCCCATTCTGGTGGACAGTTTCCTACAGTGCAGATCCCAGCCCGAAGAGAGACAGGCTACCTTCCCCTTCTTACTTGCTTCCCTGACTTGGGGACTGATTGATCATCACCTTGAACCTGACACCTTCGGATTTCCATCTCATTCCCCTTCTCCCAGTTTACTGTCTAGCTCTGCTTAGCTTTTTTGCTGAACACGGGCCAAGCCATTGACTCTCCAAATATTTACATATCACCTTTCTGTTTATCTCTTGTTCCCATTACTGTAGTGTTGTGGTAGGGTGATGGAAATGATGATGTGCTAAGAATTAGAGAAGTGATTCCTAGTCCTCAGCTGTACAGCACATGGAAGCCCGTTTGTTACAGAATGGGAAAGGAGGAGGCTAAAGATGCTAGGGAATGCTTTACATTTGTCCCATCACCCCATGGCACTGGATTTAGAGGGACCCCCACCTACAAATCTGAGGTCCTGCGGGTCTGTTCTCAGCTTCATCATGTGCCACACCTACATTTATTTCCCTGATTATGAGGTTGAGACAAAGGATCATGCCTATCCTTCCCACCTCACACCCAAGGATAGAAAGGGAAAGAGCTGGAGAAGGATAGATGGAGCCCTACTTCTGAGCATAACACGGCCAAAGACAGTGTGGTCCCGGTCCAGCGTGGTGCAGTTCCAGCGGTGATGGCGGAACTGGTGCTGACACTCTCGGATCCATTCTCGAGCGCCTTCCCCCACTGAGCGCATGATATCTGGGTACCGCTGGCACAGCTGCCGCTGCCGGCTCACCAAACCAGGAATATTGTCACAGATCACTCGGGCCCCTAGTGCCCCGATGTACCTGCAAGGTGGAGATGATCCTGTCAGAGCTCTTCAGCTCCTTTTTCTGCACAAAGTCGGGGAAGCTGTTGGTATCTAGACCCTAGAGAGAGTTCTTCCCCTTCCACATTCCCTGCATCTGATCGGTAGAGCCATTCCCCACAAGCTCTGGAGAAATAGTTACACAGTGCAGAAAGAGTAATTGAGTGGTCTTCCAATATTACTAGTTCCTCAGCCAAAGGCCAAAGTGACACACACTCCCAAAGCACAGGCCAGACATGTGTCATATACACAGAAGCTGTGGGCATATCACACAAACCCATTGCCTGTTTATTTAAGAAACATTAAGATCCTCATGGAAAAATAAACTAACAAAACAAGGGTCTGAGCCAACACTCTTACAACACCCACATGTAAGAGCATGTCCTGAATGGCTGGTCGTAAAAGACATGATTTAGCAACAGGGAGCAGGAGACAGACAGGGGCTGCCAGGAAGGGGCAGAGTGGACATCTGTGAATATATTTATAACTCTAGTGAGACATATAGCTAAAAAATTTTTATTCCTAATCCCTATATAATTTTGAGGTCTGATGAGGCAGACCCCACCCCAGTTCTCCTCCCCATTCTCTTCCAGGTCCCAGAGCCTTTAGTAACTAATGAAGCTTTTAAAATCCATCCATCTGGGGCTGGGGAGATGGCTCAGTGGAATAAGTGCTTCCCTGGCAAGCACAAGGGCCTGAGTTCAATCCCCGGTTCCACCAAAGAAAAGAGAAAATCCATCCATCTAACCTGTAAGGCACAGTGGCCTGAATGGAACTACATGGGCAGAGGAATGTCTCCAGTGGGAAAGCAAAGGCCAAGATTAAGTACTATAGTCCCAGTCTGCCCAATATGAACAGTTACGAGAAGATTGAGGGATACGGGGCTATGAAAGCATAGGTGGGTTGTGAGAGTCATTCTTGGTTTCCTCAAAGCAGTATTTTCTCATCTTAGAAACACTCTTAGGGGGCTGGTGAGATGGCTCAGTGGTCTAAAGCACCTACTTAGAACAAGCTTTGCAAAGCACAGGGACCGCGGTTCAATCCCCAGCACCACATGCCAGCCAGCCCCGCCCCCTGGTGGGCTGAGCTGGCCACACACACACACACACACACACACACACACACAAATAAATAAATAAAATTTAAAAAAAAAGAAACACTATTAGGCCTAGATGCCCCACAAGCCTCAGAAAAGTGTTTTGGACAGAAATCAGGAGTGTATCACCCTTTCTTCCCCAGAGGCAACCAAAAGATATCAAGCCATTCACCTGCAGTCTCAACAGTACAGCTCTTTCTCCTTTCTAGCTCTCCAGCCCCTATATAATACCTTCCCTGGCATGCTGGGCATGAGTTATTTTCCTATCCAAAACATATCAAAAGGATGCCCCTCCCCTTTGTAAAACAGGTGGGGGCTGTGGAGCACAGTTGCTGCTACAGACAGAAAAGCTGTGGTCTGAACTATGAGTGAGCAAGTGGTTTGGGAACAGCCCCAAAATGGGCCTAGCAGTGGGTGAGGAGAAAGGAGGGGAGCCTGTGGGGGGAAGGGAAAAGCGAAACTGCCTGGGGCCTGAGTCCCCTCCCCCTGTGCATTCCCACAGCCAGCCCTCACCCACAGACTGGATCACCACTGGTGACACCAACTCAAACAAACACAAGGAGGGCCGATGCTTGCCTCTTCGGGAACTCGGCAGGGCTGATGGGCCCCATCTGTCCCGTGGGAGGGGTGCGAGGGCTGGCCTCCCTTAGAATCAGTGTCCCCGGCACTGTCCATCAGGGCAGCAGCTTCCAGGAACAAACAAAATAAACACCAAGGCTAAGCCAGGCCGGAAAGGGCTGCCTGACGCACAGTCAGGAGTTACACCCACTGCCGCGGTGCTTTGTTTGTAGAATCGAGACCATCGGAGTTGGACCTCATCCTCCACTTACCACTACTGTGCTTCTCCAGTTCAGCCCTGGGTACTGCTCTAGGCAGTGGGGCTTGGGAGGAGGGGGGCAGGACGGGAATGGCGACCAATAACCCAGCCCTCATGAGACAGTCTGGAATTGGGCAGGCCAAGCTGGCAAAAAGGCTTTCCTGTGGTCTGACTTAGATCCATTTTGCTGCAGCCCACATTGGTCCTTATTACATCCTCAATGAGCGTGGGAACATCTGTTCAGTATCTAAGATGGGAACATAATTAAGTTTTCCCACTACCATACTCCAGTAAGTAACTGCTTTAAGACTGCAGAACATAGAGCCTGCTGCTGTGTAGCAACTGGCTCCCTGTAGTCAGTGTGCAGGTTCCCGATAATGCTGAGCCTGAGCCTAAACCCATCTTCCTCTGTTTTCAACCTATGCTTGCAAAATGCCTACCAGTACCAAGCACTGAGCCCAGCCATCAGGGGCACAAAGATGTTTAAGGAATCCCCCAGCTCCTGGGCTGGAAGAGGATACCAGATGCCCAACTCTGTAGCTGCTTCCTTGCCGAAAGTTAGTCCTTCACTTCGTATTTCTAGCTTTGCACTAGAATGATCTCTTTTTATCTGCTTTTAAGAAATTAATATTTCTTTCTTTTCTTTTTTCTTCTTCGGAACCGGGCATTGAACTTATGCCCTTGCACTTGCCAGGCAAATGCTTATTCTAGTGAGCCATCTCCCCAGCTCCTTCATATTTCCTCCTCTGATAGTGACTCAGAGCCCCTTGCTACTGAAAGTATAGTCTGAAAGCAACAGTATCTGCCTCAGCTGGGAATTTGCTAAAATGCAGATCCCTAAGCCCCACACAGGCCACTGAGTCAGACTCTGGATTTCAACAAGATTCCAACCTGATTGGGATGCACTGTTCCATGAAAACAGGATTTTTTTTTTTTTTTCCTTACACTGGAGATTAGACCCAGGGCCTCCCCCATGCTGGACAAGTACTCTACCACTGCTAATACCACCCCCACTCCAGTCTTCTCTAACCTTTATTCTGAGACAGGATCTCACTAAATTGCCTTGAACTTCCAGTCCTCCTGCCTCTCTCTCAAGCAGCTAGGACTACAGGTATGTACCACTGCACTGGAAGACGACCAGGGATTTTTGTCTCTTGTTCTTGTCTTGGGTGGATGTGGTGTTGGGCTCAAACCTTGGGCCTCATACAAGCTAAGCAAACATTCTGCCACTAAGTTACATCCCAGCCCTTTGTTTCTTGTGTTGACTTAAATATACCCAATACTGAGAACTTACCTGACACACAGTGGGTGCTCAGTAACTATCTGTTGAATAAACACCTGACTGCACTGATTTAGATTTCCATCTCCCCTATCCAGCCATAAGCTTCATTTTAGTCATAGTTTTACTCCTTGTCAACACTGCCAGTCTGACTGTAGGTGCTTTGTGTTTGCATCCTTTTAGTAAGGCCAGCGAGCCTCTTTTGACCTCCCCTCCTTTTGTGTACATCTCCTAGTATACATGGCTCTGCCCATTACATACAGGGCTTTGAACATCAGCTTCCTGGAATTTGTCCTGTATCCCACAGCACTTGTATAGTACTTTACAATTCACAAAGCATTTTCTGCATAAAAATGGAGAGGGGAAATCTTCATTTTATAGATGAAGAAAATGAAAAATTCAAGAATACTGTGTGAGAATATCGCTCTCTCCGTCAGGCCTCATCAGAGGAGAACCAGGGGGAAAGAAGCCATCTCACTCCTAAGTCCAGGTTCGTTTTCCAAGGACAAAATTTGCACACACTGCTTTTGTAGGAGTAGTAGACAAAGTTGGCTCCAAAATTGGTATGAACTTTGGCAAGATTTTTACTGCTCCTTTCCTGTCTTCATTTGTGAAATAATTACACTAATAGTACCTATCTCTCTGGATTATATGGGGACTAAAGACAACAGTGCTCACAAGGTGCTTGGCACAGTACCTGGGGCTTAGTAAGGGCTCATTAAACGGCAGCTGTTTTTGGTAACAGTGGTACTCTGTTCTCCCCCTTGGTCAACCCATGAACACAAGCCTGTGCTTGCGACTCCCTATATCCAGCCCCCTGCAAAACACAGTAGGGGGGAGGGGGAGAGATGGCTCAGTAGAATAAGCAAGGGCCTGAGTTCAATCCCCGGTTCGAACACCCCCCCCCAAAAAAAAAAAAAAAAAACAGGGAAGCACATGACAGAATTCACTTAGTTCTTATTGTTTGTCACAGGACCTAAGAAGAAACTACCCATTTCCTCCTGTACATAAGAGCAGAGAGAGGAAGAAAGTGGCTGGACAGGACGAAAGATGTCTGGGCCACGAGGAAGGTCAGACTTAGCTGGGCAGTGATAGCCTCGCTACATAGAGGAGCACAGCCTCTGGCTGGAGTGTACAGAGTGTTGGTCTTGCTGGTTCTTGTAGGGGAATCAGCTGACCTGTCCTCAGAAGTCATCTTTCCACCATATCCTAGAGGTGGTAACCATGAAGGCAGGCATCTGGCCTTGCTGCCGTGAGGGGAGGAGCAAGGAGACTGAGCTAACCTCTCACCCACCCCTCATATTGACTACTTCACAGGAGCTAAGTTCCTCTGTGTCACCTGCCTCCTTTTAGAGCCTGTCCCTCTTAAGAATTTTTACATGGGTTTGAATCTGAACTGGATGGAGAGAAGGTAGTAGACAGAGAAAGGAAGAAAAGAGTAGTCAAGGGTTAAAATAAGGAATAGGAAGAACCCCATTTGGGTCTTTAGTTGTTGAAACTGTCAATCATAGTTTCTCATCTAAACAATTGGCCCCAAAGACTGCTTTCTATGTTGGTGAGTCAGTCAAGAGTCCCTACAAGCAAACTGCCATCAGGTCCACCAAGACACTGTCTTGCCCACAGCAACTCTGAAACTTTAAGTCCTACTGGGCCCTGAAAGTAAAGGTGGTTTTGATCTCACTATGAACATGGAAAGTACCCCTGCTGCGTCTCCGTTCTTCCCTTTCCCTTTCTAAAGGAATGTTTCAAGCCAGATGTAAGATATAGGCCAGCCTGCTCCCCCATCCAGAACCCCCCTTCATCTTCCCCAACACTGCAGAGATAAAAAAGATCCAAAAGAGATTTTTCTTCAACAGGAAAACGGGAGTGGGGGATGGGGATGGAGGGCCGCATCTTGAAATGATAGGAATCTGCAGTCCAAGCCGACTGGCCCCTCAGCCAGCTACCCCTCGTGCGTGCAGCCAGGATTCCAAGTCAAGAGGAGAAAAGCCACAGGGGGCAAGAGAAGTGACCACACTTTTCAGGGGTGGGGGTGCTGGCTGCAAGGGAGGAGAGCTAGCTTATGGAAAGGAGGGAGGCGCTGCATGGTAGAGAGGGGCGTAGCCCAGTGCAAGAGGGCAGTTTGAGATGTGTGAGGAAAGACGAGAAGACAGAATCTGTTCTCAGGCCCACTCTTCCTCTTTGCCCTGCCCCTCCCCCATGGGGGAGGACGGCTCAGCTCTTTTCCTGAGAAGAGGATGAGTACTGTCCAGGCTTGGGGAGCGCATGGGGGTGGGGGAGTCTGTGACTAACAGGCTAAGATAGCCTGTGGAGTTTTAATCCCTCTGGCCTCTCTGAAGCGCCTGGGGTGAGGCCGGACAGAGCTGAAGACGTAGTTGCTCAGTACTGGGGGACTCCAGGAGTCTGACCCCTAGAGGGGAGAGATGGGAGGAGGGTTATCTGGGGAAGAAAAACAGGAGGGCTTCCAAGTGACATCCTCAAAACTGAGGCTGAAGACAAATGCCGAGATTGTGCAAACGCAAATGTTGCTTTAATTTCGAGAATAATAGTTTTGGCCTGTTTTTCCCTTCTATTCGTCGCTCTGGGTGCCGCTGCTTGACCGAAGTCCCCTGGCGGGGGTGGGGGGGCTAGTAGACGTTCGTCTGTCCCCGCCAGCGCCCCCTCTCCGCCTTCCAAAGGGAGCCTTCCGGGACCGACAGCCCTGCAGAACTGCCGCCCCAGGCCAGCGAAGGGCGGCTGCTTCCATGAACCCACCCGAGAAAAACTAGCAGGGCAGCTTCTGCCCTAGGGTCCCTAACCTGAAGCACAGCGGAGCTGCACAACTGGGCCTCCTCGCCCCACGGTTCTCACCGGGCAGGTGAGACGCAGCTTCATACCCCCTGCCTCCTCACCAGTCCCTCAGCGACTTCAGCGACAGCCTTGCCGGATCCTCCCTGACCGTCCGAGCAGCGGCTCGGTGCCCAGCGCGGCCAGGGCCGGCAGCCGCACGCAGTGCCCCCCACGGGCGTCCCCACAGCCCCCTGGTCCTCTGAACCACACTCACCACCAGGACGTGTCCACGCGGGCCGGCAGAGGCAGCAGCAGCAGCAGCAGACAGGCGATACGCAGGCGGGCCGAAGCCGGGGAGACGTCGGGGGCCGCGGGGACGGGGGCGCGGGCGCGCCGAGGGGCGAGCTGCGCGGCGTGCTCAGCACCTCCCGGCCTCCGCATAGCTCCCCGGAGACGCTGCCGCGCAGCCCGGAGGGGCGTGAAGGGGCACCGTCTAGGGGTCCTCAGGCTGCTCCTACCTCAGCCCTTGGGACGGCCATGGGGTCCGCTGGTGGCCGGGGACAGGGTCACGTGCAGTCCAGGAGCCGGGCACAGGTTCCTGGAGAGGGCGCAGGGCGAAGCGTCCGGAGGGCGCCGACGGCGCGCCCCGCTGGGGGTCTGGGCCGCGCGGCCCCGGCACGCGGCGCGGTGTCAGGG